ATATATATATATATATATATATATATATATATATATATATATATATATATATATATATATATATATATATATATATATATATATATATATATATATATATATATAAGCTGCCATCAAATCATCCCAACAAAGATTTTGATTAATTTTTACAATTTGACCCTTTAAATTATAGGAAATTCGAATATTCACGTGTTAATTATTCCATTACTGTCGTCTCGCTAGGTCTTTGCCCCTTTAATCATTCCATTATGTCTTCATTTAATTATCTCTGATTGGACACTCTCTTCAATTTCTCCTCCTCCTTAATATTTATTTTTTTCTTCCTTTTTGTATATATTTTAAAAAAAACTACACGTAAAAATAATGGAAATTCTTCGGAATTATGGTCGCCCATCTAATTCTAAACGAAGGTAAGGATTATCTCTTTCTGATTAACCATTTTTCTATTTGCATCAATTTTAGTAGCCTTTAAATCGACTAATTTTAATTATTTATCTTTTTTTTTGGCCAATTTGGATTTGGATTATTATTATAAATTATGTAATTTTGATGGTAATTTGTGGAATATGTTTTGTAATCATGTTGGTAGTGTTAGACTAATCATTCAGATTAGCTGAAATTGTGTTTGATGTACATGTAGCATGTTGATATTGTTTCTGAGGTTGGATGTTGCGTGTTAGTTAGATTTCAAGTTGGTTTATGTATTGTTGTTGAATGTTAAGTTGATTTTTGGTATGTTTGACTTAAATTTCAATGCATCAATAATAGTTCTCACTCCGAGCTACGTATGTCAACAATCATCAACAAGTATTTTCAACAATTCACATAATTATACTTACACATCACATCATATATTCACACATACTCATCATCAGTACAAAATATTAACCTATTATCACAATACCACTCACCAACAGAGTAATTCATATTATTACTTATGTCAAACCACTAACAGGGTAACACAACAACTCAAGACAACTTTAACCTTATCAAAACAACTCTAAAGAGTCAAATTACTCAAATCCCACCTTAACTCAAGTGTATCATGTATCTTGATCTCCAACTCTAAATAACTCAAAAGCAACTCTGATAACTCTAACAGAATAAAATATGATTCTTAAACTCATAAAAAAGGTAATGAAATATCACCACACTCAAAATTGCTCAAAACTCTAGACCTAACTCTAAAATCATCTCACATTAAAATATCACAAAATATTATAGACTTATGATAAAAATATGAAACTTTAAATTCTAAAATATATTTAAACTCTCTTTCTAAAGCACTTAATCGCACCTCAAAAGGAGTTACGAAACTCTAGTTCTATTCGTTTCAGTTCAGTTTTATCGCAATAATTCATGCATAAACTCTAAAACAGAATGTCTGACTTCAAAATAACATGAAAAATTATATAATCATGATAAAATCTTGAAACTCTACAGTTTTTAATATCATTAAACTCTCTTTCTAATGCAACTGGCAGAATCCCAAAAGAACTTACGAAACTCAAGTTACATATGAAACATGATGATCAATGTAGGACTGAAATTGACTACGCCTCTGGTATAAAAACCAACAAATTACTACTATTGTAATGCCTCTAGACCCAATTTTTCTACTTCAAAGGAAGTATTATTGTGTTAGCTTTCCAACACAACTGACGACACCTCAAACTAACTTACGAAACTCAAATTATGCCTGAAAAATGATAAATCCCCTCCTATGTCTACCTGCGATTTTATTCAATTTGTCCGTATTGAACAAATTCGAAACTTGCCTATTTCGCCTCTTTGAGTTATATCCACCCAAAAAACACACTGATAGATACAACACTAATCAATATGACTCAAACATTATATATCTAACATGTTATCACAACAACATAATGGATTTAACCATTTAAGAATGACAACTCTAATTCTTGCCTTATCATAAGGCATCAACAGGGAGAATATCAAATTCAACCTCCGTCTTATCGTAAGGCGTCAACATAATATATTATCACTTCAATTCACACATGTTAAATATGGATAATAGAAATCAACAAATATCACCTATAAGCCGCCATAACAACCAGGGTATAACTATTCTGATTTTATATTTTTGCCTTATGACATCAACAATGTTATCACATTAACCTTGACTTATCAAATGCATCAACATATGTATCAAATCAAAATAAAGGAATACACACAAATTACTCAATAGAGTACAAAAAATCATATAACATCCATAACATAACAAAATAAAATTTATACAATCCTTAATGATAGTAAAAGTCTCTCTTATCTACCCTTTCATGCTAAACCCCCATATAGAAGCCCTTTCTCCCCCTTACCTTAGATTTCTTACAAAAATTATGAATTGATTGAGGTTGATGGCTGACGTTCTTTCCTTTCCAGGCCCTAACCTCCCTTTCTCTCAAAAATCCAATCTTATGTACCGAATCTTCAAAAGTCCTACTAACCTTTTTTTATCTCTAAAAACATAATTTACTATTTTTTAAACTACAATAAGGCCAAACTCTTTTTAAAATGTTCATTACTTACGTTGTTTTTCTCATAATTCTATTATCCACCAAAAACCTCTATTTTCTATTTAATTTTAGTATTATTTAATTAAATAGCTAATAATTTTCTACCAACCCCAACCTATCATAAACATGCCAAAACACCAAATTATCAATCCAATGCATATGAAATTTATTTAATTAGTTAAATAAAGCACAAATAAAATAAAATAAAAAATTTAAAGAAAATGAGGTGTTACATAATTTCTACAACACAACAATAACAAATTCTCTCTCTCTCTCTCTCTCTCTCTCTCTCTCTCTCTCTCTCTCTCTCTCTCTCTCTCTCTCTCTCTCTCTCTCTCTCTCTCTCTCTCTCTCTCTCTCTCTCTCTCTCTCTCTCTCCACTCAAAGTGCTTCTGCACTAACGGAAGATATAACTCTTCAACCACTCATAGAAAGTGCAAGAATAAAAAAAATATTACCAAGATAACACTTTCAAAAAAATAAGATTATCTTATACGCTAAATATTTAAGGGTCACTATCAAACGCAGAAAAAATAAAACCTTTTTGATATTTTTAAATGAACCACACCATTGGATGACAAATCATGATCAAGTCGACTCTAATCTTATACCTAAACTCTAAGAACCTTAAACAACAACTAAAGGTCTAAATTCCTCACCCAACAATTTTCTTCACACTAGCAACAATATGCACTTCATTATTGTTATCTTTTAAATTTGCGGGTTACTCATGAACTATTTAGAGATTTTCAAATCATATTACAATATTAGAGTCTTTCTCGTTTTATATAGCATCCCACCATTATCAACCATTTCTTTCATTCTTCTCAGTCTCTTGGATTTCTGCACCACCGCCCATGACTTTTATGGTCTTTCTCATTCCTTTTCTCGTCTTCAATCATCAATATCAGTTCATTGACCCACCATTTTCTTGGATTTGCACTAGTGCTAACACCACTATTTTTCTCCAAACACCCTTAAGATAATTATGAAATTGACCACAAATGGGACATAACTTATGTAGGCCTCTGTATCCCATCTTAAAAATTGTCTTTCAAATCAAACATGGCCAATGGTGGCTTATCAAACTCAACTTTTACACACAGTCTCATGGATTTCCCTCTTTCTTGGAACAATGCATTTTTGTTCACCCTCACAAATTTTTGAAAGCAATTATCGATAAATTGTAACACCTTTTAATCGTAATATTCAATTGGTAGAACATGAATTCATACGTACATAACAACTTTATATATTAGCCAAAGTCCATCTTAAAAAGCCTTTACATATCCCTCATCATTAGAGAAGTATACTAAAAACTACTAAATTTCCAAATCTGTTATGCCGATCACTTCCTTTCTCACCCAAATTTGTTTGAGTCTAACTTCAATAGTTTTGAAATTGATGTGTCTTCCTATCATGTTGACTATGAGTCCTTGCCTCCATGGTTGATTTATCATTGCCTCATCCATAGGCGATAAGAGAACAATAAAAAAAAATCATATTATCTTAGTTTTTCCTCCAAAATCTTCAACTTCTGAAACTCATCCCTAGTTTCATATTCTAAACTGTCCTCCAACATATCCTCATTCCCTATTCGTGACTTACACAACTTTCGTCTTTCCCTAACAAGGATTCTTTGTAAGAAACCTTACCTTTACCACCACCTTCCTTCCCTTCCTCATTATATGAATCATCATACAAAATATTTACCGATGACTCTATATTGTAGCTTTCTCCCATTTATATGACTTTCTTCTCATCTCATTCAATCTAATATGCTTCTTTATTTGATAGTTATATGTCTATTTATTGAATCCTAGCAACAAGTTCACATCTTCATAATAATCACCTTTCTCTAACATTATTTGTTTTTTTAAAATTTATAGATACTTTATTCAACTGCTAAAATACATCATTTGAAAATACAAAATTAAATCTCAACAAGCATCCTAATATAATTTACTTCTAAATAGTATATTGGTTATAAGCTAATATGAAAAAAATATTTTAGGAAAACTACAACTCAATTTGTTTAACTAATTAAATCTCTTTCTAAAAAATTAACCAAAGTTAACTACATAAACCTAAGTGTAGTCATCTTAACCTAAAGATAATGAAAAAAAGATATATCCTTTTAACAATAAAATCTGCCATCAAATCATCCCAACAAAGATATAAAACAATTTTCACAGTTTGGCCCCTTAAATTATAGGAAATTCGAAAATTAACCCAAGACTTGTGTTGATTATTCCATGACCGTCGTCTCTAGGTCTCTGCCTCTTTGAAATTGAAGAGAAACACGGAGGAGCTTCTTTGACATAAAGCCAGCAGAGAGAGATAGAGAAGAGGCGTTTATCTCTTCTTCCTTTACCTCTCTCTGATTGGATCCTCTCTTCTATTTCTCCTCCTTAATATTTCTTCTTTTTTGTATATATTTTTTAAAAAATTCTACACGCAAAAATGACGGGAATTCCTCGGAATCGTGATGACACCTCTAATTCTAAACGAAGGTAAGGATTATCCCTTTCTGATTAACCATTTCTCTGTTTGCATCGGTTTTAGTAGCTTTTAAATCGATTAATTTTAATTGTTTGTCTTTTTTTCTGCTAATTTTGATTTGAATTATTAATTATGGATCGTGTAATTTTGATGGTAATTTGTTAAATTTGTTTTGTAATGATGTTGGCGGTGTTAGATTAACCATTACGATCAGCTGAAATTGTGTTTGATGTATGCGTGTAGCATGTTTGAAATTGTTTCTGAGGTTGGATTTCGCGTGCTGGTTAGATTTCAACCTGTTTCTGTATTGTTGTTGAATGTTAAATTGACTTTTGGCTTGTTTGACTTCGGTTTACCATTTTTGACTTGAAAGGAAATGAAGGCGATAGCTACAGAATGAGATGAGACCTGTGTGGACTTAGCTTGATGCTGAGATTGTAGGATTATGATATTGATAATGTGTGGTGAATGGGTTTGTGGATAATGTGTACTTGGTAGTGTACATTTACTTGGTGTTTTTTATGTAGGATCTAGATGGGTGGTTGTGGATCATGTTAGTTTATTCTAAAAAATTCTAATTTTGTTCCTTGAATATCACACATTCGTACCATATGATTGATGCTGTGATTGGTCATGCTAGAGTAAGTTAAGAATCTATAAGTTTTTTAATACTTAAATCATCTTCAAGTACATGTTCATCAACTGAAGCAGAAATTAAAGTTGCCCCCAGTTTAGATTGGTTGTGTATAAGTTTTCTGTACAATATTTGTCTTCTGACGTTTTGAATTTGTCGAATTGTAGCAATGTCTTTAATTTGGTTGCACGGAGAGAGATTTCACCAAGAACAAAACACGCAGCAAGAGATGCAAGGCGTGGCCTCCTTTCATGGTATTTGGACTACTTCAGTTTATAAATGATATCTTGGAAAAATGAGGCTCTTCAGATTGTGATTTTTCTAATGCTCTTTCTTTGTGAAAAGCCAATTTTATGGACTAACATCTTTTAAAATGATTCTTAGGGTTGAGGCTGATTCATTGCGGCATTTGTCAGCCAAGTATTGCCCTCTATTACCTGCCCCAAGGTCTACTATTGCAGCAGCGTTTAGTCCAGATGGAAAAGTTCTTGCATCTACGCAGTAAGTTGAAGTAGTTCATTACTTCATTACCTCATTGTTAGTTTGAATTGAAGTTCCTTTGCGATGAATTTTGTTTGTTTGCCATGTGTAGTGGTGACCACACAGTAAAGATAATCGATTGTGAAACTGGACGTTGCTTAAAGGTGTTAATGGGCCATATGAGGACGCCTTGGGTGGTAAGCTTGAAATCTGCCTGTTTGCCTGAATTTATTGTGCATTTGTTTTTATCTTTTGCTTTTTGCTTTCAGTATTGATTGTAGCTTACAAAAGGAATCAAGTGCTTCGTCATTTCCAATTTAAATTATTGTGCTAAACGACTGCAGGTTAGGTTCCATCCATTGCATCCACATATACTTGCTAGTGGGAGCTTGGATCAAGAAGTTCGATTATGGGATGCCAACACATCAGAGTGCATAACATCTCACCATTTCTGTATATTTACTTACTGTATCTCGTTTTATTTTCTAAATTACCTTTGCTACTGTTACTAAATTTGTTTGCTTGGTTTTCTGGCATTAATTGGGTTCTTTGTTTGATGGATCTATCGGATGTTTTCTCACAGATCGCCCAATTGCATCCATTGCTTTTCATGCCAAAGGGGAAATAATTGCTGTTGCATCAGGCCACAAGGTAGTAATTTTTATGAGAACCTCCCATCTCTTTTTAAAAAAAAAATCCTTAATGAATTTATTACACTTCGTTTTAATGGATTTTTTATGTCCTTACATTGTGTCCTGGAACACTGTGTAGCTGTACATATGGCACTACGACAAGAAAAGTGAAGCATCCTACTCACCAATTTTTGTGTTGAAGACTAGGCGGTCTCTACGGGCTGTGCATTTTCACCCTCATGCTGCACCATATCTTTTAACTGCTGAGGTGAATGAACTTGTGTTTTTTGTTGCCTATGTACCTATTCGGAATTTTAACTTTTTGATTTTTCTTTTTGGTTAACATGCTTGTATTGATGCGCAGGTCAATGATCTCGACTCTTCAGATTCCTCGATGACAGAGGCAACATCTATTGGTTATTTAGAATATCCTCCACCTGCTGTTTTTGTCACAAACATTCAACCCACGGAACATGTTACTTTGTCCAGTGAACCACCTAATGCTTCATCGACTTTCTTCTTTGTTCCTTCGCTTACCGTTGATGAGTCAAGAGAGGAATTACAGCGTGTTAGTCACGATGATGGCTCGGGTAGAATGCAAATTGAGTCCCCTGCGGTGGTTCAGTTTCAAGCAGATACAAATCTAACAGAACAATGTGATACTTCGTCTCCAATGGATACAGTCTCCGAGATTCCAACTAACTCTCAACCTGGTATAGAATATCCCACTCATTCTTCTTTCTCTAATGGAATGGGAATTGGCATCCGCAACCTCACAATGGATGGTATGGAGACTGATGAAACCAGACCGCTGGAAGGAAGGCAACACGGAAACGTTACTGATGTAAGTTCTCTCAATGGCATGTTACACGGACTATCAGGACAGACTGCAAATCATGGGGTTCATTCAGAGTTTGGTCAATTTCATCAGTTTGTTTCTTCTAGAGATACAAGTGGCTGGGAATTACCTTTTCTACAAGGATGGTTAATGGGTCAAAGCCAAGTTGGTATCCCCACACCGCATTCTCACCCGGGTGTTAGTCGTGGCACTCTAGCTCAACAGATTAGTTCTACTGCAACGGCTAATACACTTCCCACTTCTAATGTTGACACAGAAATGCCATCTACAGCAATGTCTGGCGGCATCAACATACCCAGATCTTCTATAAGATCAGGTCTACGGAGTCAATTTTCCCAATTGCATAGACCTGTATCTGAATCCCGAAATCTTGCAGCTTCTACTAATACCCCACACGATGGATCTGACATCCAAACCATCATGAGTCGAATCCAGTCAGAACTCGCAACATCTGTGGCTGCAGCGGCAGCTACTGAATTGCCTTGTACCGTGAAGTTAAGGGTATGGTCTCATGACATAAAAAATCCCTGTTCCCCACTAAATTCTGACAGATGTCGTCTAATCATACCTCATGCTGTCCTCTGCAGGTACTTTTTGAAGCTATATTTTCTATTCAGTTGTGAATTGAAATTATATGCATTTTATGGTTTTATTTTACAATTGCGTTTGCACTTTGCAGTGAAATGGGTGCCCACTTTTCACCATGTGGTAGATTTTTAGCTGCCTGTGTTGCATGTATGCTTCCACATATAGAAGCTGATCCAGGATTGCAAACTCCAGTACATCAAGAGCCTGGTGTTGCAACATCACCAACCCGGCATCCACTATCAGCACACCAAGTTATGTATGAGCTGCGGATATATTCCCTTGAGGAGGCAACGTAGGGAACAATTCAACTATTGCTGCTAAGCATTTACTATATCTTGAGCAGGTTTTTGTGAGCCCATTACATTTTAAAATAATTTTGTTTGTTGATATTTGTTAAACAGATTCGGATTGGTGCTTGCTTCTCGAGCAATTAGAGCCGCTCATTGTCTGACTTCAATTCAGGTCAGATTAGTACTTCATCATATGTTTTCTCATAATCATAATTCTATCCCTCCTCCGCTCTGCACGTGTCTGTATCTTTTTTTATAGTATTCATATTTCATGAATGGTTTCTTCTCTTCCTCAGCCATAGATACAAATACGTGTTCTTTTATTTGTTATATGCTTTGGACTCCAAGTCAAAATGATGAATAAAAATGAAGTAATCCCTTTATTATTATTGGTTATTAAGTTTATTCCCATGATTTTCTTTAAATATTAATAGCTAGTTCTGCCACTTTTGAGTTTAAATATAATTTTTAAAACAATATTCTTCATGGATTGAATTTGTACAACTGCTGTTTGATGTGTAGTTCTCTCCTACATCTGAGCACATACTCCTTGCCTATGGTCGACGTCATGGTTCCCTTCTTAAAAGCATTGTCATCGATGGAGAAACAACATTACCTATATATACAGTGTTAGAGGTGCAATTCTCTTCCTACCCGTTTTAGGTTTATATGATCTTTATTTATGAATCAACCGATTGTGTTAATCTGTGAGCTGGCACTGAACGTTGTAAGATAAAATTGTTTTAATCTCAAATTCTTGTCTTGGATTTTGCTTTGGATTTTAGGTGTATAGAGTTTCGGATATGGAACTTGTCAGGGTGCTTCCAAGTGCTGAAGATGAGGTTAATGTGGCATGCTTTCATCCTTTTCCTGGGGGCGGGCTAGTTTATGGAACAAAGGTATGGTTACTAGGGGGAGATCAATCTGGTATGCTTTCACTTGCATTGATTAATTGTTAATTTTTTTGTTTGTGATTGTAGGAAGGAAAGCTTAGGATCCTCCACTACGATGGTGCTCACTCAGTGAATGGCAATGGACCGAGTTACTATCCCGAGGAAACTGTCGTTGGATTCAGTCAGTGATCAAGGTTATATATTGATTCTTTTTGGGATTTTATTAAATTAATTACACAACTATAAAAGTGATGTTTGGTTTTGGTTTTCCTGGGGATAAATGCTTGATGAGTACTAAAATTGATCTCTGATGAGAATTAAGGACATACTATAATGGTGACGATGGCACATTCACCAAACTCTACTGTTGATCAGCATAACAGTTAAAAGAATCAAAGTTAAAAAAAGGAATATCATAGCATCTTTATGCGTTCACAAGATGTCTAATTTTCATTTACTGCCAGGGGCTTTAGAAACTTAAAAAATACATATTAGATTGACTTAAATATGTTTCCTGTCTCTGATATATTTTTTATTTAGCCCTTGCATTATTGCATTATTATTTTTGAAATGGTTCCTATAATATTATTTGAGATTTTTCTTGTATTTTCTGTTGGTGGCCCAACTCAAGTAACTGCATATTGTTCACAAATTTAGAAGAAATTGGATATTCTTACTATCAGTGCTATCTTTATTTTTTATCTTGTTTTCTTTTTCTATATGAAGGTATCATATATGTGTGAATTTAAGAATCACAGTGACCTTTGTTTTTATCATTCCTTCACAATAATATGTATTTGGTTCACAATGACTGGCATTTAATTTATTTATCCTCACAAAGTTTCCATCTAATTGTAGGTTTAAACATGATTGGAGATGGAATTTAATGATATGCTTCACATTATCTTTATCACTCACGTGGTAAGCCTTTTGTACTCCATTTCCTGTATGTCTTTTTTTTTTTTATTGTATTCCCTTAGTGTTTTATTTGGTTGTATTTGTGGTAGTACGATGATAAACTCGGTAAGTTTTCCTACATTAGTCGAAAAGATGTAATTTTTTAAAATTTTTTTAAATGAAGAGGTACGTATACCTTGATTTTTCAACCAATTAAAGCTCAACTTCTTGAGTGATGTACACTTGGAAAAAATTGTCTTTCTTTTCATCTGTAAGTTGTTTTAAAACGGATCTTATCACCATGCAGCTGTTTCCACTGATGATCTGTACAAATTTAACATCATCATATCCAGTGCTGAGCACAGGCAACCAAGAACTGGAACTTCACACTCACTGCATTAGGAAATGTATATTTTTGTATTATTAATGTATGAATATGTATGTATTATTAGTGTTCTCCTTTTGTAAAAATGTCTGTGTTCCCTTTTTCTGCTTACAATCCTTCCTTTCTAATTTAGGAACATGAATTTGCTTTTGTGAAATTTTACACGATCTTATCACGTAAATTTGGCATTTACATTTTTAAATGAAGAGAGCACACCATTCTAAGTAGTGTTTTTCTTTGGGTACTTGAGTTTTTTTTTCTCTCTCTTTCCAGTTACTTTTTAAGCTCCTACTAGTATTACATTAGCTAGAGGTTAACTTACCAACCGAAAAGAATGGTCTATTGAAACATTAGAGGAAATTCAATACTTATTTGTGGGATTAAATGTGTTTACAGTCTCATCGAATTGTTGAGTGTTGATTTTGGTTTTGTAAGACAGTTTATTTGATCTTCATGTATTTTAATGGAGGGAGGAATTTGCTGCAATATATGAAGCTTATTGGTAATGACACTACAATAGAGTATGTTAATATACTTATGTCTTCCACTAAATACCATTGGATATCCCAACTTGTAGATGCCAAATCTACTCCGGTAATGGGGAGTACCCAGAGATTGTAAGAGATTGTAAGTGCTTTCACGTGGCAAATGAAGGGAAATGCTCTTTCTATCCTTAGGGGTGTTACATACACCAATATTCATTTATGAAGTTTTTATTCATTGAGATGATTTAATTAGTAATTTAGTGAAGTTTTCAAAGATGCATATTTGTAAATGTCAAATGAAAAATTGAATAAGAAGATGAATATTTGAAAATGTCTAATGAAAAATTAAATAAAATATCATCTTGGACCATCTTCCTCTTCATGTTGAAACTAAATTTCATTGCAAAACTTTTAAGAAAAAGTTGCCTTCATTTTAAATTAATTTTCATCACTAAAACATTATTGTATTTTATCACATCAAAGGAAGGAAAAGAAGCTGAAATTGCAAGTAAAATTCACTTATTTCATTTCTCATTCCTTGCATTAATGTGTTTTTTAGAATTGAAAAAAATGAACTTTGAGTTCGAATATGTATCTCTAGATAAAGTTAGGTGTGGTTTGAAGATGCATTTCGGAATTTGCTTGATATTTTAAGTTTTGAATATGTTTTTCTTTTATTGGTGATATTAGTTAGATATGGTGCACTCAAGTATGTTTTTCGAAACTATTGTGTGGATGAATGTTAAATTAGATGAAGTGAATGACAGTGTTAAACTAATTGCTCGACTGATTGTTGTCGAGGTAGATGTTCGTGTGCAATTTACAAATAAACAAGAGTTTATTGTTTGTGAACGTATACTACAGTATGTTTGCATGGAGGTCGAGAAATTGGGGTTTGACGTTGTAATCGAAAGGTATGACAATGATTCAAATAGAAGACAAACATTTTGTAACAATGAGATGCGAAAGAAGTGGCACACACCAATCACATATTATGAAGTTGAAACGAGGTGACACTGGATTGAGAAAATGTGAGTGTCTGCTTAAATTGCGCAAGTACCGTAATGCTGATGACACATGTAAATTTAATGCGATTTTTGGTATACATAATCATGCCTTGAGTGACAAGCTAGCCGATCATCCCATTGTATGTCGCCTTATTATGGAGAAAATGAAACTTGTTTCGCACATTATATTAAACATGGTGGAGCCGAAAAACATACTTGCATCTTTGAAACGAAAATGACCTCTAAATGTTTAGAATATCAAGCAAATATACAACGTGCGTACTCGAAACAACAAGACAGTAAGATGACCAAAATCTAAGATGCAACAACTGTTGAAGCTTTTGGATGATGACCACTATGTTTTGAGGTATAGAGTTTGTGAGGATAAAGTCATGGTTTGAGATATATTTTGAAGTCATCCCGGTTCTATCAAGTTATTTAATACATTTTTTTATTATTCTCATAATTGATTCAACATACAAAACAAGCAAGTATAGACTTCCACTATTGAAAATTGTTGGTGTTACTTCTACTTAGATGACATTTTCAGTCGGTTTTGCATTTTTGGAATTCGAAAAAGAGGACAATGTTACATGGACTTTGAAATGTGCAAGACTATGTTGAAGGACCAAGAAAACATGACACAAGTAATAGTCACCGGTCTTTATATCACACTGATAAATTCGGTTGCAATGGTGTTTCTTACATCGTATACATTATTTTGTAAGTATCACATAACAAAAAATGTGAGAAGTCGACTAGAACCTGCGATTGACACCAAACAAATCAAGGGTGAATATGGAAAAATGGCCAAACTTGGTGTGATGGTGGAAAAGATAATGGATGTATGGAATGATATAATAAATTCTTCCACGAAAGAATTATACGTCGAATCTATAATGCATATCAAGACAGTGTGTGCGAGATATCCATATTTCCTGAAATATGTTGAGACTACTATTTTGGACCAGGTGAAAGAGAAGATTGTTTGTGCCTGGACCGATCAGGCTAGACACTTTGGCAATACAACAACCAATAGGGTTGAATATGCACATGCCACACTGAAGAATTGGTTGAGAAATAGTAAAGGTGATTTTTGTCGAGATTGAGACGTCGTGAGCCAAATGCTCGAAATCAACATAATGAAATACAAACATCTTTTGGTTGGAGCATTGCTGTGTTAGAAAACTGATTCAAAGACAACATCCTTTATTCTCAGTTGATATTTTACCCATCAATTGTGAATAAAGATTGTTGCCTCTGAATTTATGTTATAATACTATATGTTGCGACAAATGGTGTTTGTATCTCATTATGCTGATTTTTGATCTTTTGGTTCACGGAGTCCCAACCTCTACATAAATCACCTTTACTGTTTTCCCAATCATTCCTTAAATGTAGCATGAGCAAATTCAACTATATTATTTGTTGTATTTCTAAAGTGTCTAACTTGATCGGTCTAAGCACAAACAATTTTCTCCTTCACCTAGTCTAAATTTGTACATTCAACATATTTCAAAAAATCCATATATTTCTCACACACCCTTTTAAAATGTATGACCCATTAAACATATAACTCTTACGTAGATGTATTTATTATAACATTTCAAGCATCCATTATGCTTTCGAATATCACACCAGCTTTGACCATTTTCTATCTTCACCCTTGATTTGTTTGATCTCTACCCCAGACATAAGTCTACTTCTCACATTTTTTGTTATGTGATACCTACAAAGTAATGCATATGATGTAGGAAACAACTTTGCAACTAAATTCATAAGTGCGGTGTTGCGATCAGTAAAAACGACCCGTGACATGTTTTCTTGGTCTTTCAACATAGTCTGACACACTTCTAAATGCCAAGTAACATTATCCTCCTTTCACTTTCCAAAAATGTAAACCCGACTAAAAAAGTCATCTATGTTGAAGTAACACCAATAATTTCCAAAAATAGAAGCACATACTTGTTGGTCTCATATGACGACTCAATTATCAACGTAATGGGAAATCCTTTGAATAACCTAATGAAATCAGGATGTGTCCAAAATATATCACAAACGGATTCTCCATCCTCACACACTTTGTATCTAAATACATAATGATCATCATCCAAAAGTTTAAACACTTGTTGCATTTCAGATCTTGGACCTCCAATCACCTTGTTGTTTCGCTCATAAACATTGCATATTTGCTTAATATTTGAGATATTTCGAGGTCTTTTTCGTTTCAAAGTTGCAAGTATGTTTTTGGGCTGCACCATGTTTAATGTCATGTTAGAAACAATATCTTTCTCTTCATAATTAAGACGACATGCAATAGGATGACCGACTAACTTGTAACATAAATCACGACTATGTATACCACAAACACATAAAATGTCCACATATCATTTGCCTTAAGATACCCCCACAACT